GTTCGCAACTCATGAGGCGCAGAGCTCTTCTGAAATCGCACAGAGAAGATGATGTATTCGTCCATCTCGATGGCTCGCTCATCGGGCGGTAATCATCGTAATCAGGCGCTCACGGTAGCGCATGTAAAGACGCCGTTGACTGATCCTTCAGCATAGGCATCGATGATGGACTGCACGGAAGCGTAGGTACCCGCACCCAATGTGAAGCTGTAAAGGCATGGCATGAAGAATAGAAGTCAGCCCAAGAGCATCGAAACGGGTTTGCAAACATACCGCACAAGACTCACAAGCCGACAATTAAGCACAGCGATGCGCCAATGAAGCCGATCAGGTTCTTCGGCGAGAAGATGGAAGCCTCTCGATCGCGAATTAGCATGAACCATGCCAGTCCGGGCAGCCAGTAGCTAAAGCCGCTGATGAATAATGCCGAGATGATCCCGACTGCGCGAGCACAAAGACGGCAGGTTGCGTTTAGCGGGCATCGATTGCTGGAGCGCAGCTCTTCGACATGTCAACTCACGAAGACTGCTGAAGAATGGCACTACTTCGGCAATGACGAAGCTGAACACGTTCCCAATCAAAAGCATGCCCAGCCACCAGGCCCAACCGTACACAGTCTTGAAGTAGCCGTGCAAGGTGCCTTTGAACTTGCGATCGTGCATGTACCGGCAGGCCACCTGAGCGTTGATTGCGCCGCTGATATACACGACTGGAATAGCCACGCCCCACGCTGGTTTCTCCAAAGCCCCGGCTCCGAAGATAGCAGGAGAAGAGACGCCGTCTCCTGAAAGAGAGTAAATAATTGCGCCTGTTAAGGTATAGATGGTAATTTCGATAGCCCCAAGAGAAATCAGAGCCTTGCGGTAGTCTTGAGGTTTTCTCAGCTCGCCCTATGAAACACAGGGATGAGGTACAGGTGAGCTTGGCTGGTGATGACGACAAAGTAGCCACGAGCCCAGTGATTATACCATTGACTCACCATGAAGCTTGGCAAGCAAACGGCAAAGCTATACGCGAAGATGATGTTCGTGAGAGCAAGCACTGCCTCTGCAAAGGACGTTCCTTCTTTGGGCCACAGTCGCCACTCGGTGGCCATGTAGCCTCCAGGCTGCTTGCCAGCTTCCAGACCGCTTCCTAGCATTGTCAAGAAGATGGCGACGAGGATCTGCGCGTAAATGACATGCATCATGAGTAAATGGTTCGGTCTTGGTGCCTGCGCGGGGTCACTCACAGAGACGAAGTCGATGTAGCCTAGAATGGCGAAATCGTGAAAAGAGGGAGGAATGGCCATGGCAAACAGCAGGACTGCACTGACAACGCCAAACACGACGCTGCACGTGGCGTGATCCGACAGCGCATTGAGGAGCTCCGTGCCAGTCAGCACTGACGAAGGCAGGACACGTAATGTGAGCCGTTGCTGGGATGCGCCACAAACGAGTGTGCAATGCCCAAGTAGGAGCGCTGCAAATCAGGCTGTGTGACACCCATGTTGAACTCACCGTGACTCGCGTTGACGAGGAAAAGTTGAATGACCAAGGCAACGGCAAAGATCTCCTTGCCCCACTTTCCGAACATGAGCCTCACGACCTCGTCGTAATGGGTGGCGCTCTTGAACTTCAAGCAGATCTCTCCCAGGAACAGGCTGCCGTGTGTGGCGAGCACGCCCAAGAAGACTGTGCATATGACTCCAGGTACCATGCCAA